CTAGAATAGTCTGGCTTATTTAAAAAAAAAAAAAAAATTCTACCAACAAATGTTGGCTCCTATGAGGTGATCTGGCTGAGGCAGATGATATTTTTAAAATTATAGTCCATTTTTTTCAATGCCACCTAAATATTAGAAATGCAAAACTTAATTGTTTTGGTTTGACAGGGCTGAGCTTCGTGGAGGCCTGGGTCCACAGTCAACCACAATTAAAATCAGAAGACAGTATTTTCCGTCCCTGTTTTTGTATTAGAGTCCAGGTGTGGCACTTCAGGGTAATGCACTAGACCATGAGGTCAGTTTGAACTGCAAGATCATCAGTTCAAACCCACCAGCCACACCTATACAGGGTAGCTATGAGTTGGAACTGACTCTACAGCACTTAACAACAAGAACATGTTTTGTATTATTTGAACAGCAAGGCACATACTGCTAAATCTTAGACATAAATTAATAAGCATTGCTAAAAACGGCACATGAGACTGAATGTTGTTAGGTGCCATCACATAGGTTCTGACACATAGCAACCCTGTGTCCAACAGCACAAAACACTACCCAGTCCTGTGCCATCCTCACAATTGCTATTGTGTATGAGCCCATTGGTACGGTCACTGTGCCAGTTCATCTTGTTGAGGATCTTCCTCCTTGTTTGCTGGGACTGAATAGTCTTCTAAAATACTTCAAACATTAAGTTCCTTTTCTGCAGCATCTGCGATTTTTATGTATGATTTCTGATTAAGAGATGGGCAAACGGGAGTCTCATTTTGCAAAACTTGCCGAAGTGTCTGTCTTAGTTATCTAATGCTGGTATACGAGAAAAACCACAAGTGGATGACTTTAACAAATTTATTTTCACACAGTTCAGGAGGCTAGAAATCAGAAAATTAGGGTATTGGCCCTAGGGACAGGTTTGCTCTCGGGTCAGCTTTGGGGGAAGGTCTTTGTCTCTTCAGGTTGTTTCCTGGTTCCTTGGTGATTTTCATGTGACTTGGCATCAGTCTTCCCCCATCTCTGTTCAGCTTGCTTGTTTAATCTCTTTTATATCTCCAAAGAGATTGACTGGAAATATACTGATCCTGCCTCATTAACATAACAAAGACAACCAATTCCCAAATGGGAGTGTAAGTACAGTCATAGAGGTTAGGATTTACAACATATATTTTGGGGGGACACAAGTCAATTTGTAACAGAGACTTGCTGAATCTATAGCATACCCTCAATGAGAATCTAGTCTCCTGACCTCAACCCTGAGTTCCTCACACTAAATATCATTTAAAACACACACTTTTCAAACTGTCCGCATTTCATCTCACACATACAGATTTATGGATCCTATTTTGTGTTCTCAATGCTAAACATTTGTTAAAAAGCAATTCTACTACCAGAAATAACTTTAACAACAACAACAAAAAAAACGAAACACTATTATTATACCTAAGGAAATGATCTTCAAACATTTACCAGACTCATGCCCTAGGAAAAACTTCCTCTGGTCTGGTGTACAAAATATCATGCCAGCAGAAAAGAAATGACAAAGCCCATTTTACTTACAGGTAGAAAGAATCATGGCTGCAATCTGCCTTGAGTACACGAGACAGCCTTCAGTTCCTCAGTGGTGCTCAAGTTACAAAAACACACACATCTTTGAACTGAAATCATAACTCACCCAAGTCGTTTCTCACAGGCAAAGTTAACCCCACCTATTTTCCTGTTCTAGAAACCTCAAGAGCAGCAGGTGAATGAGAGCCCAGTGGCCTATATGAGGAAGCTCAGTAACCTGCGTCCACATCTCCGAGGATAGCTGCTGTAGCTCCTCTTCCCAAATAACCCAGTGGCTCCCAGAAACGTTTTTAAGCAGTTTCAACATTTTAGAGTGAAAGGGATCTTAAAATTCAGTAAGTCACATTGCTGTCTCTCAACAGAGGAAGAAGGGGAGGCACGGATAGGCTAAGGGACTTGCCTCAGGCTACACGGTTAGTGATAAAAGCAGAATTAGATTCTAGTTTTTATAGAATTAAATCCAGAATATTTTGTCCTCTTACTTGTACTGACACTTCTGGGGCCTTACTGGAGAACTAGATTATGTACAGAGGAAAAGCCAATTTAATAATACATCTAAAAGGTAATTGGGACATGGCCAAAAATACAAAACTATCAACCATTTAAAAAAAAAAAACAAAAACACTTGCAAGTTCCACTTCATCCCATTGGAAAGTAGAGTAAAAAAGGAACAACTTTAATAAAGGCGCAAAATATCAACACTACCAACACTGCCCTTCCTATTTACTACCTTAAACATTGTATTTGGCTTTCTAAGTGGATCCTTTTTGGGTTTTGTTTTTTTTTTTGCTTCACTTTTTGCCTTAGCTATGCTTTTGAATAGGTGTCTGGGTGGCACAAGCAATTTGTGATCACCTGCCAACCGTTTGAACCTACCCAGCAATAATAGCCCAGAGAAAAGGTTTAGTGCATTGCTTTTGTAAAGATTGTTGTTATTGTTAATGTCAAGTGCCTTTCAGTTTGGTTCCATGTGTAGGATTTCTGAGGCTGTACGTCTTTGTGGGAGCAGAAAGTCTCATCTTTTCTCCCGTGGAGTGGCTCGTGGGTTTAAACTGCCAATCTTGTGGTTCACAGTCCAGGGCTTATCGTACAGCACCACTGTGTTCCTTTGTAAAGATTATAACCAAGAAAACCCTAGAGAATAGTTGTGTTCTGTAACACATGGGGTGTCTATATAAAAACTTGGTTGTTTTTAGTGAAAGATTTCTAAGAAAGCATTTACAAATCGTGTCAGGTACTATCTGGGAGCAGAAAAGTAGAGAAACTGCTAGGACAAAGGCTATACGTTTCTTTCACTATCCTGAACACCACCTAGCAAGCACTTAACAATCTCATGATGAAAAGGGGGGAAAAAAAGGACAAGGAGTAGGAAAGCTACTTGTTGTTGTTGTTAAGTGCCATCGAGTCAGTTCTGACCCATAGCAACCCTGTATAGGGTTTCCAAGGAGCAGCAATTCAACTGGCCTTGTGTTCAGCACATTATCCTGCAATGCCACACCAGGACTCCTACTAAATAAGGAAGGAAGTAGAAAAACATGATTATGATATCCCGGTGTAGCTAGCTCATAACAAACTTCTTGAATGAGCTATATAATTCAGTTATGAGGTGTGTGTATGTTTTTGTGATAGGGAGCAGTTAAACAGGAAGATGAGGAAGAATGTGGCAATGAGATTATAGCAGGACTTAGGGCAAATATGGTATTTTCTTTCCACTACAGGGAACACAAAGGAGCTCTGGTAGCGTAGTGGTTACGAATCGGGCTATGAACCACAAAGTAAGCAGGTCGAAACTACCAGCTGTTCTGTGGGAAAAAGATGAGGCTTTCTGCTCCCATAAAGATTTATAGCCTCGGAAACCCTGTACAGAGTCGCTATGAGTCGGAACTGACTCCACGGCACACAACAACAACATAGGGAACACAAAAGGGTAAGAAGCACAGGCTTCAACAGATGGGGTGTCTGGTGCACAGATCCAAAACTGGCAAAAGTGGAAAAGGGGTCCTCCCAGCCACAGTGGCCACAGAGCAGCCAGCTAAAACTTTCATATGCACACAATGTTCCACAGCATATGAGAGACCACAGGAACTCTCCAGGAAGGTCCAATGTCTTCTCTGGCTTCCTATGTCACAGTCCAAGAGTAATGTGCTATTGATGATGGACTATTTGTCACTGGGTCACATGGGGAAAAAACAAAGGCTTCAAGTCGGAATCTTAGTCACAAATTGTAAGGGTCAGAGACCCACGCAAACAAAGTCAATAGCGGGCTCCATTGAGAGGCTATCAGAGACCATCTCGTGAATCCAGGAACCAAAGCTCAGCCAGGTCTCCTGAAAAGGAACTGGGAGGCTGCTCAGTACACCACTCCCTCTTTTTCTATTGGTAGCTGCCTTAGTTTGTTCTGTGCTTCTCCTGAGCACCTCCTCTATTTTCATCTTTCCCCAAAAGGCTCCTCTGTAAAATCACAGTTTGTGTTTCATGCCAACTGGAACTTGCTCCTGGGTCTTCCTTGCAGTGGGGCAGCCTTTGTTGATTACATCACCAGATCCTTCAGCTCCTCCAGCATCCAGCATTCCTAACAATATAGCAGCTGCGTCCTGACACCAATTCTCGAGTTAGAATCTGATTGATTTCCCTACTTCATTTAATTTTCTACTCCATCCCAAATAGCTGTGGACAACAGGGCAGGATCATTTAGCCCAACCATGTGTACTGTCCAGTTACTGTCAAGTCTATTCCAATGCATGATGACCCCGTGTACATCAGAGTCAAACCATGCTCCAGAATAGAAACCCAGAGTTGAACAAGGGTTTTCTGGTTTTTCAGAAGTAGTTCACCAGGACTTTCTTCTGAAGAGCCTCTGGACTCAAACCTCCAACATTTCAGTTAGCAGTTGAACACATTAACTGTTCACACACCAGGAACAAACCCAGCTGTCTTATCTAGTCAATTCTAATTCATGATGACCCCATGCACAACAGAGTAAAACTGCATTCCAAAGGGTTTTCAATAGCTGACTTTTTAACAGTAGATTACCAGACCTTTCTTTCTATGTGCCTCTGGGTGAACCTGACCCTCCAACTTTTCAGTTAGCAGCCAAGCACATGGACTGTCTGCACCACCCAAGTACTCCCTCTTAAGCTCCCAGGTATTCCCAGACATACCCATTCATCAGAGTGAGGTATAGATATTAATAATAGGATGGTTTAGAATCCTACCACTTCAGTTTGTTTTGTTGTTAAGTACCGTGGAGTCAGTTCCAACTCATAGTGAGCCTGCACAGGGTTTCCGAGGCTGTAAATCTTTACGGAAGCAGAAAGTGTCATCTTTCTCATGCGGAATGGCTGGTAGTTTCGAACTGCCGACCTTGAGGTTAGCAGCTCGATTGGTAACCACTACACTACCAGAGCTCCTCTTCAGTAGGAAACACTTAATCCCCAGAAGAAAAGGTCTGACACTGGTAAGGCACAATCACCAGTCCTAAGAAGGTCAGCTGACATTACAGAATTGAAAGTTTCAATTAAAAGACAATTCAGGTTTTTTTAATAAATATATAACTTTATATATTATATATTTACAATATATACAGCATACACATATTTTTCAATGTAATACTAACAGTAGTCTTGAAAACATAGATGTTTTCAAAACAAAACATTGGTAGTTATCCAAGATGGGTTCTTGATTCATCCAGAACCCACATTCTAGACAATGCCCCAGGCCCAGATTTCTGCAAAAGTCAAAGGGAGGAGAGGGATTTCTGGAACCTGACTCTAATACCCTTCCCTTTCCTAAACACCCTGGTTCCCCACTGGCATCAGCTAACATGGCCCCATGTTAGCTCCAATCAGCGAACCCAGGAACCTAGGCATAGTGTCTGGCACATAATGGGCACTCAAGTGCCTGTGGAATGAATAAAAGTGAGTGCTTTTAATCACCACTTCTCAGGCAGCATTTCTATAATCTGGAAGGTTCCATTTCAGTCTTAGAGCTCAAGTTGGTCTGGAAGAAAATGCTTTGGGTATTTCCATATTACAAGTCAAACAATTTGTACATTCCAGTGCTGAATAAATTAAAAACCACAAAATGTCATTTCTTCCTCGTGCTTTTGAATCTGGGAGCCACTGGCCACAACAGTGCTTTATCTTCCAAAAGTTTCTTCACACTCGACTAGTTCGTCTATTGTGCGTAGCAAGTCTTCAAAGGACGGCCTTCCCTCTGGTTTCTATAATTGAAAATCAAAGAGAAGCTGTGAGTTCCAGAATCTGTTCCAAAGTTTTCTCATTGCTCAAACTCGCATAGCATGCCATAGCGAAGCACTCATTGCTTCAGGACTGGGTGGCACAAATGGCTAAGTACTTGGCTACTAACAAAAATGTTGTCATATCTACCCACAGTTGCCTAGAAAGAAAGTTCTAACATTATGCTTCCAAATAGTCCCAGCCTTGAAAACACATGGAGGCTGATGTCTTCTTAAAACCAAACAATAGGTTAGCTTAACTAGTACAAGATGTCTTCTTGAGCATTACACTCTTTTAAGAACTATCTGTGTGAGATCAGATTGGCAAAAGCAGTTAGAAGGATCAGCTAGGAATCTTAGGGGGAGTGGAGTTTATGATAATGGAGGAGAAATAACCCAGAAAAGGCGGGTAGGTAAGAATGGTTGTAAGACTTGAAGAATGTAACTGGTGTCACTGAATTACACATGTTGAAACTCCTGGATTGGGGTATGTTTTACTCTGCATATTTTCATCAACAACAAAATAAACATTTAAAAACCCTGTGGAGGGCAGGTCTACTCTGCAACACATGGGGTTGCCATGAGTTGGAAATGACTCCACAGTAACTGGTTTGGTTTTGTTGGGTAAGAATCTTTACCCAATCTCAAAGCAATGAGTGCTGCTCTGTAGCAGGCTGTTGGCATTTACAATGAGAAACATTTGAAATGAATACAGCTCCTTGTTTCCTGCCATATCCAATCCTACTCATTCATAGTGCCCTTCCAGCCACCCTATGGACCCAGCTTCACTTGCCACAAAAGCCCTCACATGAACCCTCTGCTTTCTTAGGCCAAACTCTGCTCTTGTGCACACATACTTACCCCTGCCTCCTTATTTTTGCTAACGCTATTGTCTTTTCCTGAGCAACACTTCCTGTCCAGGGCTGCCCATCTCAGTGTTTTCGTGAGTCATCCTAGCAAGTCACTGAGAGCCTGGGCTTTCGAGTCGGACAGGACTGCTGCTTGGTAGCTAAGAGGCCTTTCATGAGCCTTGGTTTTCTTATCTAGAGTGATAATAGTGAAAATACCTATACCTCAAACAGGTACTTTGATAATTAAATCAGATAATAAATGTAAAGGACTTAGTACAAGTGGGTTTGGTCTCTGATATCGTCTCTGAAGAAATCTTTCTATGCATGGGTAAGGAAAACCTACAATAACAATAAGAAAAGAGAGGTCAGGAAGCTGGAGTCTAGAGAACGAAATCTTCTCAGGTGCAAGTAATACGTCAGCCCTAACAACAACAACCTCTCCAGGCTTATTCCCTGAGTCTCTAAAATCAGGTACTCTGACAAGTGGGAGTAAGGCAATCACCTATATCTACTGAATTAACTACTGGCACTTTCCTCCTCTTCAGAGTCTTCTTCCCATTATTCAGAACAGAGGTGATAAGACTGGCTTCCTACCTAGGATTGCACGCTACTCAACATCCAGCCACTCAATAGGCTATAGAAATTGTACACTACCCATTCCCAAACCCAGATCCCTAAATGTCTTAGAAGTTCAAAATGAATGCACAAAAAATATTTATACCTCCTGCCAACACCTCAGCATCACCTCATATACATATTTGGATGCCAACTTTGGTCGGTAGAGTCGGTGACCGCGAGTAACCATGGTGACCACTTCATAGTTGGTGTTTTTTTCAAAGGGCATTCTGCCTTCAGTGAATACTTCCCACATTAAGACCCCTGAAAAAGGATAAGTATTAGACAATGGTGTATGTACTTCTTTGGAGTAGTCTTGAGGAAATATGGACCATAAGGACATACCAAATGACCACACGTCCGACTTGCTGCTGAAGCGGCTATAATTAAACACTTCGGGTGGGCACCACTTCACAGGAAATTTAGCACCAGAAGAGCTTGTGTACTGATCATCTAGAACATACCTAGGGTGAGACATACCATGGGGTTATACCTCTGAGGCACAATTTGTATTTTGTACATGTTCTTTCCTTTTTTTTCTTGCTTAAATAAAAAACACAGTTGACTGGCTAAAGTCCAACAAGCATCCGGTTAAAGCTAACTGTTTACCTCTGTGGCCATACCTGCTGATATCCAACTTCCTCTCAGCTTTCTTTAAGTGCATGAGAAGGATGCATCGCAACAATAATATCTGCACTTTCATTTCTCTCTGTCTCTTTAAATAAAGCAATAGAGGCAGAATGCAATCACGGTTTGCAAGCTTTTTTTTATAAACAAGTTTTGTTCTTGAAAACAAAAGTGTACCACACAGCCCAATACATAAAGCATGTAAAGCAGAAATGCTCTAAAGGAAGTGGCGCAGAAGGTCTGGAGGCATTCCGTGACCTGCCCCTTCCACACCCCCCAATTCTACAGAGCACAATTTGAAAATGACAGCATGCGAAAAAAAGCAAATGGCAAAGCACTGCATGTAAACAAATGCGTACACTTGTATACACTATGGCATGCCTTCACCTCACCACACACACCACAGACTCAAAGAAACACTACATGTGTTTGCTATGTAAGGACACACGTAAGCTGGCACCAGGGTTACCCTTGGTGAGAATCCTTGATGAGGGGTGATGGATATGGAACTTCAGTCCTTTCTATAGGCTTTTCAGTACTTACAAGAGGAATCTGTTTATGTGTTATATAGTCATTTGCAGTTAATTTCCAATAGCTGCCTTTAAAAAAAAAATTACTCAAATAATTGCATGACAATGTCGGGGACTCAGTACAAAAGGAAGCTGCTGGCTGGCAGGCAATGCCACTAGGAGCGGGATCAAACTGTCTGTCAGTGTCATAGGAGCCTGAATTTGCTGCATGAAAGAGAGATTGAAGCAAAAGAGCAGGGGTTGAAGCACAAACACAGGTTGTTCAAAGTCAAATATATGAAAATCCAACATATGAAAAGGAAAGTTGGGGTCTGCCTTGGCTCAAGGAAAGAACATCTTCATACAAATTAAATTAAGATGACTGCAATTTATGGCGACCCCATGTGTGTCCGAGAAGAACTGTGCTCCAGAGGGTTATCAGTGGCTGATTTTTCAGAAGTAGTCACCTGGCCTTTTTTCTAAGGCGCCCCTGGAGAAACCCAAACCCCCAACTTTTGGTTCAAAGTCAAGCATGTGAACTATGTGGACCACCCAGGGCCTGCAATAAATAAAGAGCATTGGTAATTAATGCTTTGAAAGTCAGGAATTCTAACCTGGCTTGGTCTGAGCTTCCCTATTAGTTCAATTTGGCCCTGTAGAAGCCAGCCCTTGTCTGCCTTCACCATTCATCTCATACGCTGCTCCTCAGCCAGTCAACGGACAACCTTCAGTTCCTTGTGCTGGCCCAATGGTCCCCAACTTCAAGCTTTTCCATTTGATACTCCATCCACTTGGAATATTTTATCCCTACATTTTCACCTGTCTACTTCCTGTCTTTTGCTCTCCATTCAAATATCTCCATTTTAAACAGGCCATCCCTGGCCCATATCCATCACTCAGTGTCAACCTCCCCAAGGTAAATCTATTACAGGAGTTAGTCAATTTTTTCTGTAAAGGGGGAGACAAGAAATCTCTTCAGCTCTGTGGGTCGTACAGACGGTCTTGGCTACTGGTCTCTGCTGTAGAAGTGCGGAAACATCCACAGACAACACATACATAAATGAGTGAGATTGTGTCTCAGTGAAACTTAAGTCACAGACACATTTGAATTTTCACATGCCATAAAATTTTTTTCTTTTAATTTTCCTACTTAAAATATAAAAAAAATAACCTTTTTGGTTGGCTTACTTACAGACAGTACAAAAAGAGGTAGTGGGCCACATGTAGCCCATAGATCCTTGCTCTATCTCATCATCCTGCGGTCCACTCCCCACCCACACTCCACATGCATCACTTTCTGGTTAAATGAATATGTTCTTGGGTATTAATGTTGATCCCTCTTTCTGAATGTAAGCTGTGTGTGGGCAGGGGCTCAGATGTCTTGCTCTCTGCTTGATCCCGTCTAATGCTGTGCCTTGTACATGCCAGTACTGACAAGGGCCGTCGAGTTGTTTCCGGCCCATAAAGACCCTATGTAGGGCTTTCGACGAGCAGCTAGGAGGTTTCAACCTCTGACCCTGAAGTCCAAACCAACCTTATAGTCCAGTGTTTAGCCAACAGTGCCACACCAGGACTCTGTACCTTGTACATAGAAGGCATCCAATTATTTATAGATAAATGGATGGATGATGGATGGACAGGGGGAGGTGGGAAGGAGATAAACAAGGACAAAACAAACATTTTTCAAAACCCCCACTCTCCAACACTATCTATTAAAATTACAAAAGTTAGGAGAATAAAAACATGTAGATGTGGATACACTAAGAACTTTACCCTCACACTTCTGTGACAAGATCCCACACAGGGAGAAAAGCAAGAAGAGAATGCATTGAAAAGGCTATACTGCCACCTAGTGGAAAGAGTTATTAACCAAGTATACTTGGTTACATTAGTGATTATATTTACTGATCTCAGAATAGTTAACATGATTTCTTTCATTTGGGTAAGCATTATGTCAGTTCCAATTATCCTCACACTTATTCATTCATCAAGATTATGTGAAAACCACCTAAAACCACAAAATGGAGCAGGAGTAACAATAATTTCTCAATGCAGTTTATCTGGGAAAAAGCTAAAGTTAATAGGAAAATGAATCAGTTCAGCAAAGCACTTTCAAAATATTGATAATTTTAGTACTTGGTATAAAAAAATATACTAAGAAGCAAAAAGAAAAAAAGTCAAATGTTGTTTCCCCTACACAAAAATGCTGGCTACTACTAATACTTTGCTAATGGAGTAAACGATGTAGTTTCAAAATGGCTCTTAAATGGTCATCAGAGGAAGAGGCTGATACAAACTTCTGAGGAAAAGTCATGCTGTCTTTACTTACTAGGGAAATGCCAGAGTTTCCCATCAAGTTTATTCAAAATTGTTAGACAATGTTCACATATACTCAGTCATACCTGGCCATTCCAAAATCCGATACTTTCACAACACCTGCTTCATTTACCAGACAATTTCTGGCAGCCTGGAAGACAAAATTCAGATGATATATTAGTTACAAAGTTCATAATGCACAATACAAACAGAAATATGTAACATCTAGTGAATGTCCTGGTATGTCACTGTAGGGTAAGCGCAGGACCACAAATCGGTTTGAACAGCCGCTCCTTGGGAGCCTTATGAGGGGCTATGGTTGGAACCAACTCGATGGTACTTAACAACAACCCATATTAAATTTACTGCTAACCAGTCAACATGTTCAGAGTGCGGAAATGTTGTCTTTAGAAACTATTTTGCCATCTTCAGAACTGCCTCTGATGCACCTGGTAAAATAATGGGTTGAAAAAAAGGTGGGGAAATTCTCTGTAAGAAATGCTCTACACAAGTTCTGTTAGGCGAGTCAACCCCAATTTTCCTTCTAGCCCTATTCTTACTAACAGCCTGATTTTCATATTGGTAATGATGACATTTTTTGAAGTCTGTAGTCCAGGTGCTCATTTGGCAAGGGGAACAGCACACCACCATCAAGTAATGGGCGACCAGTCTTTACTCAATGGTTTTGCGTCGTGATTAGTCATCTTGATCTCAAGCAGTCGAAAGAGAAGTAACAGAGAAATAGAGAGTTGTCGTTTGTGACATTTTTAGTATATTACAATATACCAAATTGGTCAAATAAAATTCCGGTTTATTTTCTTGCTTTGCCCATTTCTTACAGTTGCAGAGCTCAGAAAAATAGTTTTGCAAGATATTTCTCAGGAGAAAGATGTGCTATTTCAAATTCCATGACCCATAGGCAAAGACCTATTTTTCTTCCTGACTGCTCAGAATTCAATTTCCTTTCTGTGGCAATTCCACATATCTGTGGCACTTTCTTGCTGAATGTAGTTAGAGAGCTAATGTGTATTCCTTCTTGCCTCCATCTTCCTATGAAGATATGCCACAATGTTGCCATTTGGTGGTCAACAAGATTTTTCACCAGCATTATAAAAGACAAGAGCATTAGAATCATCCTCTTTAGAAACAGACTAAATGACTCCCTGAAATTTGAACACCCTGACATTGTGATATGCATAAATCCTTAAAGGAAAGATTGCTGCTGTTGTTAAGTGTTGTTGAGTCGGTTCCAACCTGTGACCACCCTGTACAGAATTTCCAAGGAGCAGCTGGTGAGCTTGAATCACCAACCTTGTGGTTCAAAGTGGCTTTGCAGTCTAGCACATTAACCCACAGCACCACACCAGGACTCATATAGCCCCTTAAAACAATGATTTCTTAAAACATATGAATAGAACTGTTTTGCATTTTCAAAAAGATTTTTCAGGCTCAAAATTGGCTCTGAAACATCTGCTGTGTAAAGCAGATTCATGTAGCATAACCAAAAATTGCAATTTCAGAAGAGGCAGTCAATGAAGCTTGAAGTTGGGGCCAGAAATGTTTTCCCTCACATCACTTGATGACCCTCTTATATCCCTCACCTCTTTCCTACACACAAGACTGCTGAGTTTCCACACACACATCCTGTCCCTCTCTCTCACACTGGGCAGTAAAAGTTGCTGTAGTTATGGCAGGGCTATGGAGTTTCTGGTAGCATAGAGGTTACGAATTGGGCTGCGAGCCCCAAGGTCAGTAGTTCGAAACTACCTGCTGTTCTGTGGGAGAACGATGCGGCTTTCTGCTCCTGTAAAGGTTTACAGCCTTGGAAACCCTGTGCAGGGTCACTATGAGTCGGAACCAACTCCACAGTAGTTAACAACAACAATAACATGGAATCTCTGGCATAACATATACTGCCTCCGGAGCCATAGCATTTGGCATGACAGTGGGAAGAAAAGCCAGTCATCTCCAAAGCCATTTGCTTTATGTCCATAAGTTTGGGGTTAGGGTTCTTTCTACAGAAAATTTGGAAATCTACTTGCAGTAAACTGGGTAGTCACATATGATGTGGTTACAACTGCCACCATGCTGCAAGCCTCAGTGATCATGAAGTAACTTATGACAAGTCAATTGCTAGGAAATGACAAGGAGCCTGTAGAGTTAAAAGACTCTTGACTTTGACACCTAATTCTACTAACTAGTAGAGCAACCTTGAAGAACTTCCTTAACTAGCCTGAACTTCAGTCACCTCACCTGTAAAATGGGCATTAGATGGACTGAATTGTGTCCCCTCCAAAGATAAGTCGAAGTACTAACCCCAGTACCTGTGCATTGTGACCTTGTCTGGAAATAGGGTCATTGGAGATGTTAACAATTAGGGTCACATGAATGAGGTCATACAAGGACAAGGTGGGTCCTACTCTTATATGACTGGCATCGGTATAAAAGAGATCATACACAGACACACAGAAATGAGGGCCATGTGACGAAGCATCAACAAACCAAAGAATGCCAAGGATCTCTAGCTGTGACAAGATGCTAGGAGAGACAATGAAAAGATTCTTCTGCAGAGCCCTCTAAAGGAATCAACATGACTGACCTCTGAGTTCTGAATCGTGGTTTCCAGAACTCTGAGACAATATATTTCTGTTCTTATAAGCCATGCAATTTGGGGTATTTTGTCATGTAATAAAATGGGGATTAGTAAACTATTTCTAAAGGCAAACCTATTTCTGGAGTCATGGTGCAGTGCTGTAGAATAAGCACTGGACTTCTAGCCACAAGGTTGGCAGTTCAAACCCACCAGCTGCTCCTTGGAAACCATATACAGGGTTGCTATGAGTCAGAACTGACTAAATGGCACTTTAACAACAACAGTAATAAGATTTTTTAAGACTTAGGCCTACTTACTTCACAATGGTACACATTTAATGTACAATTTATACTTTGTTGTTGTTGTTAAGTGCCGTCGAGTCAATTCTGACCTATACTGAACCTGTATAGGGTTTTCAAAGAGCAGCCGGTGAGCTTGAACCACCGACCTTGCAGTTCAAATGACTTTGCAGTCTGATGCATTAGCCCACAGCGCCACACCAGGACTCCTCAATTTATACTTATGAATACCTTAATAATATCAAAATACTAGCAGAAATGATATAAAAATACTAAACACATATTCAAAATGGAAAATTTGAATGTTTACGTATTTGTTCAGTCAATCCTATGTTGTTGTTAGGTGCTGTTGAATCATTACTAACTAACAGTGACCCTATACACAAAAATATGAAACAATGCCTGATCCTGCCCCTTCCACGTAATTGTTGTTATGTTTGAGCCCATTGTTGCTGCCACTGTTTCAATCCATCTCATTGAGGCTCTTTCTCTTTTTCACTGATCCTCTACGAAGCATGGTACTTTTCTCCAGGGACTGATCCTTCCTGACAACACATCCAAACTACAAGACATTCTGGCTGTACTTCTCCCAAGAAGTTTGTTCTTCTGGCAATGCATGGCACTTTTTATTGTGCTAACACAATATTTTAAATGCATGGATTCTTCTACTGTCTTCCTTATTCATTATCCAACATTCATATGCATATGTTGTTGTTTGGTGCCAACTCATAGGGCCCTTATGCACAACAGAACGAAACACTGCCCGATCCTGGGCCAACCTCACTACTGTTGCCACGCTTGAGTCCATCAATGCTGCCACTTGGCCAGTCC